AGACTCAGTAGGGATAACTTATTCTGCACGTGAGTAGGTGTTCTTTCCTCATTACAACAACTACTGTATTTAAGATGCTGGAGACCGGTTAATCATTTTGGAAGCGCTGTACAATGGATTTGAAGCATTTAATTGTTCACTCACACATCAGGTCACGCATATGAAGAGACCTTGTCGGCGATGCATTTGCTAATATACATGAGTAAAAGCCAGAAAGAAGAATTATACAATTATGTGTGTGATCAAGCACTGACGCTTTACTGAGCAGTTCACCGGTGTATACAAATGTTTATGCGCTGACAATATATCTTATGGTTAGATTCGATTGTCCATCGCCCCTTTTTCAATAGAACTCACGAACGTAATCAGTACACTTGTGCAACCATATCAGAAATTTATAACACGGTATATGCTGCGATATTGAGCAGTGATACTTTTGGTACGCTCTAACTACATAGAGCTGCATTTGCATGCTTACTTTGTTAATGAGTGTTCACTAAAATCCTGAGCCTCGTTGCACGTCGTGGTCATTACACTGATCAAGTATGCGATCATGATGACAAACGCATCACCAGCGAAGTTCGAGTAGCAATCATCAAACAAGCATCTCTGTTTGGTGGTCATAAAAGCTCTGCGTTGCTCCGCGACAAAGCAAGGGAGGGCGTTGTTTCAGTACAACTTTTTCTAATGGCGCCGTCAAGCTAATAACGGCTGTATTACGCGCGAACGCTATCCCTAATTGCAAGATAGTTACTCTATTCTATACTTTGCCGACCAATGTGGAACATCTCCTTTTGATACGTTTTTTTTCTTCTTAAGTCCCTGTAAAGGTTCAACAATCTCCGGTCGAAAACATTTGCTTGCAGTGAGAACTTGTTGACGGTGAAGGTATATATTTATAGGGCGGCGCAAAGGAACATCCAATGCAAGATGCATTGTAACAGATTTTTAACTAAGAGCTAATCTATCCCTTTTCTATACTTGACGACGTTTCGATATCAATAAGAGTTAAAACATTTTGGTGTGTTCATGAGCCGCGATAGTCTACTGAATTGCGGTGTACACTTCTTGCAGTAATCACCCTGGTTCATCTTTATGACTCTCGGCCAAGTCTTAAACTGGGACTAAAGCCAAATTCTCTTGCTAGTTCGGGTCGTGTTGCGATTTGCAATCATGGAGCGTCATTGCGGAGGTAAAGACAAGTGTCCGCCAAGTCATAAGCGGCAACGGTGCCAAAGCAACAGCTCCCAAAGTGAGGTATGCATTTCACCTGACAGGATAATGACCATAGCCCGATGAGATTGTCGGTCCACTATCGCACCATAAGGGGGATAATCGGTCGTTGTTCACGAACAAAAACGGTGGATGGCAATTTTCCAATCGTGAGCTCCCTGGTTTATGAGATCACTTTGACTCTATCGGAGAATTGTGACGTGTCAGCGATACTTACATAAGTCATCTAGCAAATGCGCTCTCTAACCTGCACAATTAGATAAACTTGATGCACAGATACCGGTTCACAGCCGTAAGGTACTATATAGCAGCTGGTAACTCGGCTACAAGGATGGTTAAGACGATACGGCGTCTTGGACAGAGCACGTTGCATTTAAATTGCTTGAAGAGCGGAACTCTAGTCGGTTTACGCAGAAATCAGGGTGGTCTTTCCTATTTTTTGGAACATTTAGAGTGTATCTCGACCCTTGCTAGCTTCGATCATACACAGTTAGAGTAACGAGGTCGCTATGAGTCTAATAAAATACAGACACTGCATGTTTGGTAGATTTTCTGAGTGTGACAGAAACATACGCCTCTTCACTTCACTTCTCTTCTCTTTCAGCATGTTGCCTTGGCACATCTTACTATCTTGTCAAAGCATCGTACATTCATCCAGCCAGCGTGTGACGCCCAATCTTTACCGACAATTCACTTACCAAAATCGGTACTATTTTGTAAGTTGTCAAAGAGCAAAGCGGTTGATCTAGTAACCTAACAGCAGTACAAACTCTGTTGAAGCTTGTGCATGGTTGATTAGTGCAAGCTCAACTAGTAAGATCATTTCGACCCCTCGCCACAGTCGCTCTGCGCATGTTCTACGAAAGGGGATACTCCCCAAAACGCGGTCAACGCGTAGGATGGTCTTGACGAACATATTCTAACGGGTAAGAAGCACTTTGAACAAAGATCACCAAAGTTGTGCTGTTTAACTAGGATTATGCTCCAAGCCAGTGACATTTGGTTAGCCATGCGGAATATTGGCTGTATCTTCACCGGGGATTGTGTCGTTGTCAGTAGTGATCTGAATCGGCTTTCTTAGTCGATTTGCAAATTTCACATACCGTTATAATCAGACGTTTCTTTATAAAGTTCAAAGACCTGTCTGCGCTATATTCTGGCGGAATTGGCAAATCAGCTAAAAGCGCTGACAATTTGTGGCGAAAGTCTTACCCG